TTTTAAAAGATTTTGTCTATTTGAGAGAGAGAGAAAGCACGCAAGCCCTTGAGCAGGGGGAGGGGCAGAGGAAGAGGGAGAAGCAGGCTCTCCGCTGAGCAGGGAGCCTGATGTGGGACTTGATCCCAGGACCCTGTGATCATGACATGAGCCGAAGGCAGACACCCAACTGAGCCACCCAGGCGCCCCTCTGCTCTCAGACATCTTAAAAAACTCCACAGCATATCAAAGTAATTGATACACAGTAAGTACACAGTCATATGTGATTTGAGTTTTTGACCCTTCATTTGTCCAATGAAACCTAATGGGTCTAAAGACATGGAGACATGAGGCAAACTTGCACTGCACTCCTGCTGTGTACCAGGTGAGAGCCCAGACATGCAGAGAACAAGACAAAAGTCTTGTCCTCAATTTGTTCATGGTTCAACCCAATCAATGGGATCTCGGAACCTCATCTTCTCACCATGCAGAATCAGATGCCCAAAGATCCCTAGAGTTCTTTGTCAGTCTGTCAAGATTATGATTTGGCAGATCAGGTAGAGGTGTGGCTGTAAAGAACCTCAGTGACTTTTTAGTGACTTTTTAGTTTGCCAGTAGAAGCAAAAGTCCGCCGCGGTACCCATTTTCCATTTAAACAGGGAGTAAGCCACAAAGATAAATGGGCAAACTCCACCCTTCCACAATAGCCCATCAGTCCCTCAACTCTGTGACTCCGAGTGGACATCCATATTCAAGCAGACCAGAGATCAAAGCCACATTAGGCATGAGCTACTTTTTATTCATAGACTTACAGAATATATCGAATTAAGAGGCATGTTGTTTGTTAACTGTATTTACCAAAAAAGAGCTAAATATATATCCAGCCTTTAAATGCATCCATTGTAGCTTGCATACTGCAAAATTTGCTTTCATATACATATAAATTATTCTTATTTTACCTAAGTTATGCATCTAAGATACATAAAAATGGTACCAAATGGCATATTGGCTTATTTTATCACAGTTCTTATACATTCCTGATAGTCAAAGGGATTGATAGGGAATGCATAGTTTCCTACTAGAGAAAAAGGTAGATTCTGATACAAGTAATGGAATAATGTTAAGGATAAGAGTGCCTCGCTAGGTTTAGATCTCAGTAGTTTTACAACACAATTCTTATTTCAATTAGCATTACAATGGGCTCTCTTCGTTAATAACTGGCTGTTAATTTGCCTAGTTGGTCCACCCTCTACTTGCCTGGCTCATGAGGCAAAGGAAATCATGATGACCTTTTTTTCTTCCAGTTTATTTCTACTTTCCTAAAAGAGTTTCCTCCACAGCCATCTGCCCTGCTTTTCTGCCCATTCCCTTTAGACTGTCCTAAGTCTGGACCACCTTACTCACGGCGTCAACAACTAGATTATTGCATTCCACTCCAGAGCCCTGCTCAACAGAATCTTTGGCCACTGCCTAATTAAAGAACTCTCTTCCAAAACTGCAGAGCAGAGGGGCTGACACCTTTTCGGAAGAATCAGGAAGCTGGCTAAAGAGATTTTCTTTAGGTGGCATGCAGATAGACTCCCCTCCTGCAGACCTTCATCTCCCTTTCATTATACGCCAGGTCAGAGAAATTTCCATCGTGAGTGTTCCTGGCAGCCAAACCTCCAGCATCCCACGCTGATTTCTTTCCTAAAAATACACAGCCTCTCAATCCATGGGGAAGAAAAATGCAACACTGGCATTTTCAGCGTGCTCCCCAAAGGCTGATTATGACCCGGAGCAATTCATCATCACTTGTGCATTCGAGTTTTTAGTTGTTCCCTGATAGAACTCTCTTGTTTATCTTGTGGACATTGTGACAAGAACCAGATGTGTCTCAACCTCAACATCGCCCCATCGCTATTGGGGTCGGGGGGAGTGTGTGGAGAAGCAGCCCTGCCGGCTAGAAATCCTCTTTAGAGCAGAACACTATCTGAAATTTCTGGAAGACTTTCAAGAGTGGGGCCTCACGTGTAATAGCGATCCCGTAGCGTTTAATTGTTAAAGGGACCAGCTGATGAGACGGTGTCTATTCAACACTATTTTCCTTCTGGCTATGCATATTTTGTTGTATTTTTTATTTTATCTCAAGGTACTGCTATATTCTGAATCATGAGAAAAAAGTCTTCATTTGGAAGGCATGTCAGAGTGTCACAAAGAAAATACAAAGCCCGCTGTGCAGGGGCAAAGCTCTGCTTTTGCCTCACTACTGGATAATCTCGAGCAGGCAACTGACTTAGATTTTTTACGCCGATTTCATTCTCCTGAAATTAGAATACCCGCCCACCAATAAACTGAACTATTTATGAACAAATGAGATGGACACAAAGGTACACTGAAAGAACATAAAGCTTTGCTGAAATGCAGGGTGGGCTTATTATCCGTTGCCCGAGAACACCCTGCCTTCACACCAAAGGCTCGTTTTTAGTCTTCGTGAGAGATCGGTTCCTGATCCCACGCTTTAAGGCTGTGTGGTGTGGCCACTTGGCTACGTGGGGGGACTTAGCCCTAGCCACAGAGACTGTAAAGAAGAAACAAGCTAGCAAGAAGGCAACCCATGGGTGATGGGAAAGGAATGGACGAGAGCAGCCCTTCCCAGAACTCGCTCCACAGGTGATGGCCCCACGTGTCTCTCTGCCTTGGGTTTCTGTTGTTGTTGTTGGGGTTTTTTGGGTTTTGTTGTTGGTGGTGTTCTTTTGTCTTACATTATTACTGGGAAAAAGCTTCTTGCAGAAATTGTTTAAAACTGGAGGGATTCTTGGGATGAAGCAGTGAGATTAATGAAGCAAAGCTTCCACCACCTCGCGCCAAGAACATCTATGCTCCTTTAGCAAGCCGGCCAGAACAAATACCTCCTCCCTCGGTGCCGAGACTCTTGGAGGCTGCAGATTCTGATCTTGTCTAATTTCTTAAGAAGGAAAAGAGAACCTGGCTGCAGCCGCATGGACTACCCGCCCTCTTGCCCTCACCTCACCTACGGTTCCTTAGATCTTTCTTCCACCGGCCAATGTCTCCCTTGGACTCAGCAAGCACCCCTGTCCCCAGCCCCATACCCCGGGCTTCCCGGTTTCCCAGATTCATTATTGGAAACGGTGAATGCCAACGGTTTCTCCAGCCACTTACCCCCTCAGAGGGGAAGCTGCGGAGCCAGTGATGCTTCCCCACGGGCAGCCCTGCGAAAAGATGCCCAGGTTGCCTTCTCAACAAGTGGCTGGACTCGGGAACATCATTTCGAGCTCGCACAAGTGCTAGGGCTGCCGAAAGGCCCCCTACCTTGTTTGCCAAGGGCCTGTTTTTCCGCCCAGGCTTGCCTGAGGGGTTCCATGTGCCAGAAAGAATTGCTTGCCCATCTCAACAGCCAGAGGAATAGCAGAGCTGTCCCACTTTCAGCCACCGATGATGCAGGGATCTGGGCATTTGCAGTCAATGCAAATCAACCGGGAAGGCAAAAGAATCTGGATTTTGATGCTTCAAAAATGAAAACAAACCACTTTTCTCCTGTTCGGTTGGTGCCTACTGGAAAGCTTCAAGCAGCAACGCTATACTCCGTGCGGGTGACCGAGTTCTTTAAAATCCCCGGTGTCTGAGGCTGGAAGCCCGCAGTCTGCAGTCCCGAATGTAGCCAGCATCGAGGCTACTCATTGCCTTGATCTGCATCGCTTCAACCAGAAACAACACCGTGCTCAGATCTGCGGCAAAACACCTACCAACTCATGACTTGGCAAATGCTCATTAAAAAATAACACTCCAGTACAACATGATTGTGCTGGTTTGGGGGCTACCAGAGATGCTGTTGGGGGGCTCTTTCAGAGTCACTCCTAAAATCCACTTCAAGAGAACCAGCTAATTAGGCAGAGCATCCACTGGGAAGCTTCCACAAAACCAGACCCCATGGGCTTCCCAATAATCCACACCAGGGAAGGCCAGTTTGAAATAGACCCTCTGGCCCCCTGAGCGCAGACCTGTGTGTCTAGCTCCAAAGCTGGTCCCCAGTGATCAGCCCGAGCCCGCCCCCCTCCCCGCCCCAGCCTATTCAGGATGAGCCCCCTGCCAGTATGTGGTCCCACGTCAGGGTGTGAGCCCCAGGGGGTTTTCCTCGGCTAAACTACTGGGAAAGGAAGGGGCACCGGTGTCAGAAGCACCCTGGGTTCTGCAATGTGGTGCCCCAGCCTGTCCGCATTGGCGGCGGCAGCAACAGCACATCAACAAAGCAGGACCGATGCAGGAGTAGGGAGGAAGGCAGGGAGGCAGGAAGGTAGGCTGGTACTCAATGACTCGAAACAGGAAGCTGCCCAGAGGGCACAGACATGCACAAATCAAAGGGCCACCTCTAGGTTTCAAAGTACAACGAGACTTGTGTAAAGTCCTCTTTGATCCCACAAAATCTTGCTTCAGAAATTCTACCGAATGCTCATCAGCTGGAAAGCCCTGTTCTATTGCTTTAAAGGATGGGATGAAAAGCACCGTTCAGTCTTTGGCCTGTCTGCTGGTTACCCACAAATTCAAAGAATGGGTTCAGGGAAGCAGCCAAGTCATGGAGGGCATCTAAAAGCAATATTGCTCCGGGCGCCACGGGGTCGGCTCTGAACTACAAGGAAGAGGGGAAACTGCCTTTGTCTCACTCATGGGCCTATGGCCCATGCTGGGCCTGGACGCGTGTCAGCAGAGTATTTTCTTTGTGGCAAAGGAAGCAACGCCCAACGTTATTTTGTGAACACCCCCCATCACGAGCATCGCCCGAACCAATGAAACAGCCAACGTTCTGCTATGAAGGGGCATTCAGGAAACTGAAATGACTCAAAATAGTATTGCTGAGTGTTATCAGATTTTTAAATGAATCATCAGCAAATTTTTTCAGCTGACTTTGGCTTTAAGCATTCTTACCCAACAAGATTGCTGAAATGGAATGAGAAGGGCCCATAGTTTGGTGGTTTTTTTTTTTTTTTAATTTCATCATAAGAACCGCCCCATCTTATCCGATTTCCTCCTTCCTCATTAAAAAAAAAAGAAGAAGAAAAAAGCACATTACTTTTCTAGATGGTAAGAGTTAATGCTCTACTCTTTTCTCAGAGATAACAGGCTTTAAGATGTCTTTTGAAATGGGAGAATGGACATGTCATGCAGTTAGCCAATAAAAGCAATCCCTGATTGAAATGTGAGTTCTAAAATGTTGAAAATTTCTATTTCCCCAGTGCGTTTTTAATTGCGGAGCTCTGAACTTGGCCTTGTGTTTGTTTCTCGGGCCTCTCTTGTGAAAGCTAGCACTATGTGTCTCTTAAATTCACCAGTCACCTCTTCACAAACTTAAGTCAACGACTATATGTTCAAAAATCTTTGTTTTCCCTTTGAAACTGGATGCAAAAAAGAAATCTCTCCTGTCAGTGGAGACAGCTGTGAAGGAACGAGGTGCCTGCACATAAATCTCCTTGAATTTTTTGAATAGCTGCTTTTCTTTATCCCACTGGTAGATCTGGGAGAATGTATAGTCACTCCCCAGGGCCAGGTAGTGATTATCTTTAAAAGAAAAGGGCTGCAGTGTCATGGCCCCCCGGGATGGAAGAGCCTGGATCTCCACAAACTGCTTACTGTTCCACGTCATGACCCTCGAGTCCCCGATGAAGCGGGTGAGGGAAAGGTAGAGGGCATTCTGCATCCTAAAGCTCTTCACGGCCAGTACATCCTCCATGTTGGGGATATCACTGTGGGGGACAAACTTCTTAGAGCTTTTATTCCACTGGAGGATGATGGGGACCTGGGAACGGCTGGACAGAATCAGGTGCGACTTCCCGTCTATGTCAACAAATTCTGCATCCGTGTCCCTGAACCACTCGTGCAGAGACTGGTAGGAGTAGAACCCTTTGGTGTTCCATTTATACACCGTGGACAGACCAGCTTTAGAGCTATCTGCGATGATGAAGAACGTCTCGTCCTCAATCTGAAACAGCTCGATGTCGTTGGGCTTCGAAATGCGAGAGACTTCAATGTCCTGGAATTTGACAAACTTGGTCCAGCTCTCGTCATATTTGTAGATGTGAGAGCCTCCGAAGAGCTGGGCCACCACCACGAAAACCTGGTCGTCGATGAGGATGGCCTTACAGCCCACAATGGACTGACCTGTGCCCCAAGAGAAACGAGAGGGCATTAGGGCACCGCAGGGAGAAATGGTCCTCCGTAGTGATATTGGAACCCTCGTGAGCTGGCAAATGCGGACAGATGTAAAGAAATGTGAGAAAATGGGGTAGCCGACGCACGGAACAGCATGGCGGCTTCTCGACAATCTGAACACAGAAATACCATGTGATCCAGCAATTCCACTTCCGGGTCCATACCCAAAAGTAAAGAAAGCAGGGTCTCTAAGAGATGTGCACACACATGTTCACAACAGCATTATTCACAATAGCCAAAAGGTAGAAGCAACCCTAGTGTCCACTGATGGATGAATGGATAACCGAAATGTGGTGTAGACACACATGGAACATTGCTCAACCTTAAAAAGGAAGGAAATCCTCACATAGGACACATGACAATATGGATGAACGTTGAGGGCATTATCCTAAGTGAAATAAAGGTAGTCACAAAAAGATAAATAATATCTGACTCCACTTACATGAGGTCCCTAAAGTAGTCAGATTCAGAGAGACAGAAAACAGAATGATGGGGGCCAGGGGCTGGGGGAGAATGGGGAGTTAGTGTTTAATGGATAGAGAGTTTTAGTTTTTCAAGATGAAAAGCGTTCCGGAGATTGTTTACACAACACCGTGAATGCACTTAATGCTACTGAACAGTACACTTAAAAATGGCTAAGATGGTAAGTTTTATGTTCTGCATATTTCCCTACAATTAAAACATTTTTAAAAACTTAAAAAAAAAAATGTGTCTCCATTAAGGGCTGGTCTCCTGGTCTCTGGTATCTTTAGAGGCCGGAGTACAATTCAGGGAAGGCACCAACACCAAAGGTATTGTCTTCATGTTCTTCAAAAAAGTATTTCCCAACTCCGGACAGTGGAATGAGACAGATGGGCTTCTGTTCCTGGCATGGGGGTAAGGGAGGGTAAAAAGGTAGGAGTCAGGTCTCAGAGATAGGAGGAAAAGAAAGTAATGAAGACATCTGGCTCCTTCTGATTTCTGGAGCCAAAGGAAGCTGAACAGAGGCAGAGACGGAACAGAGGAGTGTTAAGCCCTGTAACTCTAGACCAGGTGGCCCAGGGTTTGAAATGCAGCCCATACCGTATAAGCTTTCTGGCCCTGTGCCAGTTAACTGTCTGGGCTCAGGCTCCCCATCTATAAAATGAGGCGCTATTAGCGCTGACCTTCCAGGGTCAGTAAAGACTAAGTGAGAAAATTCCTGGTGTTTTTAGAACACAGCACCCACAAACAGGAAGTGGTCAACAATTAGTAGCTATCATTACTGGCTAATTGAAACGACTGTCCTGACCTCGCTCCTCTAAAATTTCCTATAACAGGCGCTGCGTAAGTACCTGAAGAATGGTCAATGACGAGAATGATCTAGCTCAGGCGGCCCAGAACCGGAACTCTGCTGGAAAAGGGGAAGTCTTCTGTCTGGACCACCGCCTACAGTCTTCTCCCACGCTGCACCCGGACCCCCAGACTGTCCCCCAGCCTCCTCAGCCGGCCAGCGAGCAATGGACCACCCACAACCCAAAGAGGATTGACCCTCCACCTAGGTCATTGGATTAAAACTTATTTCTTTCCCCCCTGATTTTCTAGGCGATTGGACCAAAGTGAATTTAGTCTGTAAATTACAGGGTAATTATCCAATTCCTGTCCTCAGTATTAACTTTGGGGGCAGCCAGTGGGTAGTTTTTAGAGTGATACTTACTTTTCTCTTTCACTATTTTGGCCTTCTTGCAAGAACTTGGTTCCCTTCTTTTGTTTAAACAAATTATTTTGTTTAAACTAATTATTCCTTTTTTTTCCTGAGTATAAAAGTTTTCAACATTCCCCAAAGCAAATTTTACAAAAATAATAGGTAACAATTATAGTGTGTACTATGACCGAGCACTATACTAAGCATTTTACATGTATTCACTCATTTAATCCTTAACACAACCCAATAAGACCAGTACTATCATCATCAGCATCATCCCCATTTTGTAAAGGGTAAAACTGAGGCACAAAGAAGTGAAGTAACTTATACAGCTAGTATGTGGTAGAGCCTGGGATCTGAATCTGGGTAGTCTGGCTCCAGTTTACACTCAGCTGCGAACAGACCAAAAAGCACCAAAAAGAAAATCAGAATTACTTGTACTGCAAAGTTGAAATAACACTTAACGTCTTGATGTACTTCCTTAATCGTTACTCTACACACATACTCAAATGTGCTTTTTAAAAATAAATTTGGGGGGCACCTGGGTGGCTCAGTCGGTTAAGCGTCTGCCTTCGGCTCAGGTCACGGACCCAGGGTCCTGGGGTCGAGCTCTGCATGGGGTCCCTGCTCTGCTTGTCCCTCTCCCTCTGACGACCCCTCCCCCCTGCTCATGCTCTCTGTCTCTCAAAAAAAGAAATAAAAATCTTTAAAAATAAATAAATAAATAAATAAATAAACTTGGGCTTATAGGATACATGGGCTTTTTATAACCTACTTTTTTTTATTTGACCATGACATTGTGAACATTTTCCCCTGCTACTGCACCTTCTACAACTTGATTTTTAAATACTATAAGGTATTGCACTGTACAGGTGTATCCTATTTTTAACAAATCCCCTACTGTTGGACATTGCAGTTATTTCTAGCTTTTCATTATTTTAAGTAACATGTTTCCTTGTAGAGCAATCTTTTTTGAAAACCATCTGGCAGTGTTCTTAAAGGTAGGCATTGCTGGGGTAAACGTTGTGCCCCCTGGAGGAGCCAAACAGGAAAGATAGCCACCCGCCGCAGGACCTTTGCACTTGCTGTTGCCTCTGTCTGGACTGCTTCCTCCTCACATTGTCCCCATGGATCAACCCCTCATGTCCCACTTGGCTTCTCCAAACAACCTTTCTCACGAGGCCTATCTAAATGTCACAATCTAAAATGTCAACACTCCCATGGCCAGCTCTTCAAAACTCCCATCCCCCTCTTCCCTTCCCTTCTTAGTGTGTTGCTATCTGATGTGTTAGCTGTATTATAATTGTCTTTTTTATTGTCTCTTGCTCCCATTATAATACAAACCCGTTGAGGATGGAGGTTTTCATCTGGCCTGTGCATGGCTGTGACCCCAGCACCTAGACTGTGCCTAGCTCGGATTAAAGGCTCAAGAAATCCTTGTGAATGAATGAATGAATGAATGACCTGATGCACGTAGGGATGCAGCCAGCTGCAGATTGTCGGAAGGGCAAGCAGAGGGCAGTGCCGTCCCTTCCTACCGAGGTCAGCCTAAGAGAAGAAAGGGGTGAGATGCAGCAGTGACAGGCCCTGGGCTTTGCCCCCAAAGTGATTCAACACGCCTGAGCCTTGATCTCTCCATCTGTGAAGGTGTGAGAAGGAAGCTGACATTCATTAAGAACTGCTCACTCGGGTCCTGGGATCGAGTCCTGCGTCGGGCTCCCTGCTCCTTGGGAGCCTGCTTCTCCCTCTGCCTCTCTCTCTCTCTGTCTTTCATGAATAAATAAATAAAATCTTTAAAAAAAAAAAAAAAAGAACTGCTCACTCGGTGCCTGGCACTCACTGACTCCTCACAGCATCCACATAAAGTACATGCGCTGCCCATCCTACAGATGAGGAGACCGAGCCCTAGAGGCCACAGTCCATATTATATCTCAGTGCCTGGCAGAGTCCGGAGTACAATCCACGTCCATCAGTTTTCACAAGCCGAGCTCTTTATCATCTCTATGCCCCCTTTCTCTTGAACAGGGCTTCTGTCCTCTACCTGCAGGCAGGCAACCCGCGCTAAGACCTCAAGGGGCTGTGGTGAGTTTCCAATGAGACAAACCGGCTCCTGGCACCTCATGGGCCTGCAAGCAGCCTTGGCAACCAGCCCTGGTGTGGACCCCACTCCCCACCCCGCATAAAGCAAAGCTTCACTCTGCTCCCATCTCCTAGCATGGGGTGGGAGGAGGGGAGGCCAGGGGGCCAGCCCATTCATCCCTCACCCATTTCCCAAGTCTGGAAAAAGAGGGAAGCAAAGAGCACATGGATAGCGGGTCTCCCCTTCCTTGTTTCCTTTAATATGTACCGGGTTTAGGGTCCAAATGCCTGAGCTTTCTCGCCAGGTTCACCTGCGGTGCTCTGTGCTGAGTGCGTGCTTGGCGGGGGTGGGGCTGCTCTCGGGAGTGTGAGCTCAGCACTAGGAGGCCAGGTGGCCGCACCGCGGAGGCGCATCTGACATGGCATCTTTGGAGCTTCTGGGGCGCCTGTGCACCTCAAAGACCTCCCAGTGCTGCCAAGATCAGGCTCATTACCATCTCTGCTCTGGGAGGGGTGGAACCACGCTCTCCCTGCCTCCCTCCACCCCTGCACCTGCTGCAAAACCACTTTGCACCTGCGAGCTTCCTAGGAGCCTCCTGATCCAGAATGTCTACCTGATATGCTGCAACAGCAAAATACTGCTCTGACCCCAAATCGGGAACCACTAAAGGAAATCCTCTTGTGGGGTCACAATTAGGCTACTGTGGTGCTGTCTATAAAGTCAATATTATTATCAGATTGCACTTGATAAATGAGAAGTCTTTAAAAGGTTATCGACTTAACCTACTTATTTAAAAAGCAAGGAAAAACTAAATTAAAAAATAAAAAGCAAGTAGACGGCCCATTTTTAGTAGCGCTGAGACACTGGGTTCCTGACAGTGTTGAAAGAAGCATTAACTAGGCCTCAACCCAAAGGCATGAATTTAGATAGCCATTTATTCTTATTTTGTTTGCACTTATTTAAAGGAAGCAGTGATCGCCAGGACCTGGCAAGAGGACAGCAGGAACAAGCCATACAGTGTGTCTGTATGTGCATGCATAGATGGATGTGTGTCTGTGTGTGCGTGCATGGATGTGTGCCTGTGTGTGCATGCCTGGATGGATGTGTGTCTGTGTGTGTGTGTGCATGGATGGATGTGTGTCTGTGTGTGCATGCACAGATATGTGCATGCCTGGATGGATGTGTGTCTGTGTGTGCATGCACGGATGGTTGTGTGTCTGTGTGTGCATGCATGGACTGATGTGGTCTGTGTGTGCATGCAAGGATGTGTGCCTGTGTGTGTGTGCATGGATGGATGCGTGTCTGTGTGTGCGTGCATGGATTGATGTGGTCTGTGCGTGCATGCATGGATGTGTGCCTGTGTGTGCGTGCCTGGATGGATGTGTGTCTGTGTGTGCATGCATGGATGTGTGCCTGTGTGTGTGTGCATGCATGGATGTGTGTGTGTCTGTGTGTGTGCATGGATGGATGTGTGCCTGTGTGTGCGTGCCTGGATGGATATGCGTCTGTGTGTGCGTGCCTGGATGGATGTCCGCCTGTGTGTGCGTGCCTGGATGGATGTGCGTCTTTGTGTGTGTGCATGGATGGATGTGCGCCTGTGTGTATGTGCCTGGATAGATATGCGCCTGTGTGTGCGTGAATGGATGGATGTGTGTCTGTGTGTGCATGTGTGGATGGATGCGGTCTGTGTGTGTGTGCGTGGATGGATGCGGTCTGTGTGTGCATGCATGGATGGATGTGTGTCTGTGCATGCGCATGTGTGCATGAGCATGTGTTAGCACATTAGTTAACGATCAGCATAACAGAAGTCAAAGGTATCATTTAGCTGTATAAAAAGCTGTTGCGGTCTTAGGCTGCCCAAAGCGCTCAGGATTAAGGGATTCTCAGGTGACTTCTCACCACTACCGGAAAATGCCTCCGACTATATGAAACCCATCCTCTCTCCCCTTTCAAAGGATCACAAACGACAAATAAGATCACCACCCCCAGTTTCTGTTCTCACCAATAACTGACCAAGTCAAGAAGAAATCAGAGAGAAGAGGGTGGGCTGGAACGTGTTCCCCAACTCTAGCCAAGTCAGGGAGCCACGCCTCCCCTCCTTGGGATGCCAGAATGCTGTTTCTCTCACCGGCTTGAGGCCGTCAATACATCTGATTGAAGTCACAACACACCTGTAATGTTGTCATAGCTCCGGAAATTCATTTCGATGTGGTCCCACTCCAGCACCATGCAGTTCTCCATGCTGGGCTGAGCGATGGCCACATACACGTCATTCTTGGAGTTGAACGTATCCACCGAAACCGACTGGTAGGGCAAAGTCTGATGAACAACAAAATCTGGGAATGGGTATTTAAAGAAAAAAAAAGTCTCCATGAGATCCCCTGTGGGAATTATTGCCCTCCATTTCCCTTCTACCCTTTGTAGCATTGGTTCCAAAGATGAGCAGGGAGGAGGGGGGACCGGAGAGAGAAGCAACACGCATATCACAGCATGTTTTACTCTGGAAGGTTCCAGAAGGGTTCTGCCTTGGACAGGATGATGAATAGCTCACAGCTTGGCTGCCGGATTGCAAAGTTTAAAACAAATTTGGGGAGACCTGGCTCTCGAAAACACCAGCACAAAGATGCCACGGAACAGCACTGCCTCAACACTGCCCAGATGCAAATCACTCTGGGAAGAGACTGGCAGTGGTCGCATGGGTTTGGGAAATGCCGTTTCTAGCCCTCTCGGGATGGCCCTGGAAGCAAAAAACCTGTCTTGCTTTGCTTGCTGGGGCGCTTCTCAAGCTTACCTGCCAAGGTGATTGTTTCGGCCGTGGTTACACTCCCACGCTCCCCAACTCCAGGTTCAAAACCAAAGGTAAACTCCCTCAGGGCACGCTGCACTTCGGGGAACCAAACCAAGCCCTCTGATACAGACCCAGAGATTTATGAAGCCCGCAGAGCAGGGAAGTGAACCGAAGGACGTTTATTGGTTGTTGGACTTGGGGGTGAGGGACGGCTATGCCTGCGATGTGGACAGTCTCCCGCGGTCCGCGAACAATGACAGTTCTGTTGGATCTTCAAGCCATGTGGAACCATCCTATCAGAACACGTGTTCTACTCCTACACTTAGTGCTAAGTCAGCACTCCTCGGGGTATGGCCCCCTCAGCTACCGCTGACTCACTGTGTTCTCTTGGAAGGGAGGTACCAGCTTACCAAGGAACAGGGTGAGCGTGCCGTGGGATGCAAGGAGGGGTAGTGTGTGGGAGCTAGGGAAGCAATGAAGAAAGAATTAAAACAAACAATTGAACAAAACACTAAGAAAGCTGAAGGTAAGTTATTTCTTCGGCTAGAGATGCTTCCATGTGCACCGCTTCTTGGCAGGCTAAGCACACCCAAGGTCAAATGATGGTGGACGTCTGGCTGAGGGAAGTCGTTCCTCTGAGAAAACCCTGGCTCGGCCCATCCCCTGCCCACCCACCCCTTAGCTGTGCCCACTCCGGCCCCATCTCTCCTGCAGAGCCGTCCCAGATCCAATGCACAGGACTCTCTCCTCCCTCACTGGGTCCATCATAAGGCATGGCTCTTTCGATCTCATCCTTCACGAATCTCCAGCACGGCAACTGCAGAGTCAGCTTTGGAGAAATGGGAAAGATCTTAGAGCCTTGAGCCCTTTCACAGAGCCAGAAGCTGAAGCTCCGACAGCGTGTGCGCCCGCACAGCCAGCGTCTTGTGCCTCCTGAACCAAGGGCTTCCTGAGGTCAGGCCTGGGTCCCACCCTCCTGAGAGCCTCCCACGGCATAAGCCCATGGTGGCCACTCAAGAAATAACTGGTTCGGAGGAAGCCTCATAAAAGAGGTCGAGTGAGAAAGACAGTAAAGGGGTGAGCCACTCAGTGGTGAGCAAAGGCAGGATAACGCTGATGGGGCAGAGGCAGGAAAGGAAGGGAGAGCCTGAGAGACGCCGAGGAAGGGTTGAGGTGGGAAGGGTAGAGCGGGAATGAGAAGAGCAGGTATCGTGAGGGGCGGGAGAAGGGAACAGGGCTGAGGGAACCAGGATGGCATGCGGCACAGGAAAGAGCCCTGTGCCTGGGTTCAGACCCTCTGAAACCACCCCCTGCACTTGAGGCCCGAGGCTGCGCCCTTTCCCTGACAAGGCCTCAGTTTACTTCGGTGCCAGACGGGGGCGACGAATTTTTACCTGCCTAGCTTGATGGCAGGGACGCATTGGTAATGTTGGTGGAAGCGCCCATCTCGGGGCCTGGCACGTAGTAGGGGCTTCATAAATATGGAATTGAGGTCTGAGAAAGGGCTGCCTGCCTCCTCCGTCCCAGCCATCCCTGGGCTGTCTCTTGAGGAAGTGTCCATCCTAACGGCATCTAAGATGACATGGCAGAGCTGTGACTGACGTCTGGCTGAGTGACCTCGGGGAAGTTATTGCACCTCTGTCTGGCTTAGTGTCCTCACTGGATATTTTAATTCTTACTCACACAGAGTGGTGCGTAGCATAGTGAGGGCTCAGTACATGCTCACTTTTGGAGGTGTTCCTATCCCCATTCTGAGTGCGCAGTAGGTGCCTCATAAATGCTTGCTGGCATAGGAGTGTGGGAGGGCTGGCCTCGCCCACCCTGTGGTCCACTCTGCAGACCGTGTGGGGAGGAGGCTGGGGATGAATGAACGATGCACGCAGGTGCAGGGACAGGAGGGGGAAGGAAAGAGCAGGCCGCCTCTGCACCTGACAGCCCGAAGTCGCCGAGGGAGAGCAGGGACAAGTGACAGTAGTGGACGAAGGATCCCCTCACCCCCAGAGCCGGGAGCACAGCAGCCGCAAGAGCTGAGGCTTTAGCTAAGACAGGCTAGGCTTCGGGTTCCCACTTGTATTTGCAGCTCTGTGACCTTGGGCAAGAAACTTGAGCCTCAGGGTCCGCATCAGTGAAATAAGGGTGACACCTATTTCGTGAGGTTGCCGTAGCGACTACGGAAGAGAGTGTAAGCGTTAGCATTAGAGTCGTGTATGGGGAGTGTGATACCTTAGCTTTGTAGGCTGTAGAACAATGACCGTGTTGAGTTGCTGCGTGAACGCTCAGGAAGGATCACCATGGCTCCCAGCCCCGTCCCTTGTCAAACCCCCCAGATACTAGAGCACATCAAAGAGTAAAAACGGACAAAACTCAACCTGTAGATACACAGAAAAAAGGAAATGGTAGCAGTCATCGTCTGCTTCCTTTTCTGGAGACAGAAAAGGACTCCGAGAATTCGGCTGCGGCCTTTTAATTCTGGGACAGCCACAGACCCCCTTCTGCCTCTCGGGCTGCCTTCTGCTAACGCAAGCCCCGAAGGTTCCAAACGGTCCTGCCTTGCCTCCAACCCACGTCTCCCGCCTGCACGCCGACGTCTCGGAAACATGAGCATTCGCTGAAAAATGCAGGCTGTTTAAAGGGCAGACCAAAAAGTTTCAGTTTTTTATTTAAAAAAAAAAAAAAACCCAGAAAGAAAGAGAGCTGCCAAAATTAGACAGCATTTTACAAATCTCGCTTTTAACGGTTCTATTTTCATTTGTTTTCCCAAAACATTGGTTTCATAATATTTTCTATATGCTGACTATCTGGCACAACACAGACTGTTAAATCATCTGAATTATAAATCTAATTCTTAATAGGAGAGTCCCTCTCCCTGTCCCCCACCCCGACCCCCAGAAAGGAGGAGGAGGAAGAAGAGAAAAGGAAGAAAGGAAGAAAAGAAAATGACTGGTCACTACGTGTTGGGTGGGGGGTGGGGAGGGCTGGAGGAATGTAAAGATCCTCTCCTGTCCCCATTTTAATCTGTCTTTCACGACCGGCGAAAGCACATTTGTCGTGCCAAGATCTCCAACAATACACACATTGATATGACATCCATTTCCGAGTGTTAAAGTATTAACAGCACGCTCCACACAAAGTGCGGCCATTCACGTTGGATTAAGTTCATGATGTCAGTGGGACGCTTACAATTTAGGCCTTGCTCCCACTGGAATCAACAGATTTTTACACAGCTATTTATAGCCCTTGCAGGAAATAAATTATACATGATGCCGATCCTATTGGGAGAGAAACTGCACATTAATGCATTATTTCTCTTTGCATTTCATCAGCCCAGCGATAGGGAAGCTAACAGGACAATTATGATGCAAGATGCACTCCCTCTAAGGAATTTAGCGAATTACCCACCTAACACGGGGAATCATGAGTAGGTGACAGGGATTTTTGAGGTGGTTAAAAATAGACTCGAAAGCGGAGGGTTAGGGAAGGATTGTGATTACGCTAGAAGCTGAAACAGTCCGGCGGTGGTTCTGCCGGGTGAATTATACACGGGCACCACAACACAATGGCAAGAGAACCTTCCTCTCTCTGGGAAAAATAGGATCTTCCTCTCCTTCCCTTACCTGAAGAATTTCCGCCTTTCCCAAAAATCTGAGCTAAGAGAAAAATAATGCCCTCAGCGAATGTACTTCTTCCCAAAAATGTAGTGAGGATGCCGTCCTCACTAGTCCCCAAGCTCTTAGATTGGGCTTTCTATCTGCCTTCCAGCCTCACGCGTTTCCCTCCCAGCCTTTAATAAAGCACCAAAGGAGGAGGCTTGATATGAGTGGAAGACAGGCACCAAAAAAAATCAGAATTTATTGACTTCGTTCTTACAAGGCAGGGACTATATCTAGGGGTGGGCGCTGCTTGGGTACGCCATTTATTCTTGATGGAGGAAACCATAAGCGAAAGCTAATTTGTTCGTGGGTCTTAAAGGGAGAAAACAGTAGCAGAGACAGAATCATCACCTGCCTGTTACCAGGGAGTAGTGCTGACTATCTAAATTTTAGTAGGAAGGTTTCTAGCAAAGACATATATAAGAGAGGGAGGATGCCCTAAAATGTTAGGGGGCTCATGCTGCCCCATGGGTTCTGGGTTTAGGACAGGTTTCCAGAGCTGGCTACCTTGGTTCCAAGCCCCCTTTACCCTTGAGACAATTCTGAGGGCCCAGATCATTTTCATAACCGTCCCCAGGGTGCAAAAATCAGAAATCCTGTTTTCTCATATAAATTATTCCCTGTTCCCAGGCCCTGGATAGCCCATGTCATGTTTCCCAGAGACTGGCAAAATTTTCAGCCACTCTGGCCAGGTGTGAAGAGAACAATGAAAAAGCGGCTCACTTCACCTGAGGTTTAGATAGAGAACTCTCCAGAAAAACTGGAGCGGAGGCAGAAAGGAGCCCCAGGGAGCTGTGGTTTGGCATTTCACACCAAATGGCCTTGAATGCCACCTTTTGGTGCAGATGTCATTGACTCTGAGCTCTGATTTACTGCGCTGCTCTGTGATATAACAAATAACCTGCTCGTGGTCTCTGCTGGCCGAAGGGTACCTGCCAATTACACAGCTGAGTAAGGCCCTTTTCAAACTGAAAGACATGGGCAGCCATGAGTCTGTGGCTTCTCTCCCGGCAGAGAGAGAACTTGCCAAGTCCCTTACTTACGAAGATATCTAGAAATAGTTTTTACTTTGTGGGTTCTTATTTGTTTATTTGTTTGGAGGGTAGCAGACTGGCCTAAATGTCACAGTTGGTTCCTGGAGGGTTTTTTGTTTTGTTTTTTTGTTTGTTTTCCTTTTGAGTTTCTGTCACTGTTTTCTGAGTTCTCATGCCCGTTATTCCCCCTGACATGCCTTGAGGCTTTGTAGGTATCAGCTCTCAGCTGAAATGGTTATTTTTATGAGTTTCGTAAGCAGGTTTCATACTGGGGATTGATCTGCTTTCCTTTAAAAGCTGGCCTTAGAAGCCGGAGGAACTCCACCGAGGCCTCTCAGACGGAGACACGCCCCTGCTCCCCATGAGACGCGACAGGGGAAGCAGTTAGTATTTTAATTTTGTCTTATAACCTGTAAAATGTATAAACGGAAACCTTGAGGCAGGCCATGGAAAAATGCAAAATCAAAGTTTCTGTACATTTTTCCTCAACGGGAGTTTTTTTTTTTTTTCTTTAGATAGCTAGTTGTTCCCTTATGTTTCTATTTTGCCATTTGTTGTAATTCACCAAGTTATCTCTTTGTACGTAGAACTACAAAAGGAATTTATGGATGTTAAAGGCTGGTATTTATTAGCTGAATATTCAGTAAACTTCACATTATTCAATGAGGAGAGGAGTGACCAGAGTAGATCCCGAGAGCAGGAATGCGGGCCTCTCTGCACTGACCTTCCATGAAACCTGACTTGTAAATGTGTTTATGCCCAACTCATCAGTTTATACTTTGGCCCTTATAAAAAAAAAAAAGTCAGAGAGATTGGAATTGTGTAAAGAATCAAAATTAAGGCAAAGGGCAGTTAACAAAAATCCTTCCAAACTGCTGAGATATTTTCCTGACCGCATCAATTCATCTCTTTTAGAACGCTTAAACGTTGCCTAAAATAATCTGGACAGAACACCTTCACACCCGCTTTTCTCCATTCCCTGTGGATGACCTAAAAGAAAAACAAAGCTATTATCCTCCATAACAGTCTTCAATGATAGAGGTTCTGAATACCTGTAGTGGTACATTCGTAGTCGAAGCTGGGCACATCATTTAGCTTCTTTTCCTGGTATTCTGGTGGACCGATACAGAGGACATCGGAGACAGTGGAATTGGTCATCTTCAACCACAAATACAACCACTTGGCTTTGCAGTCACATTCGAATTTATTGCCCCTTAAATCGCTAAGAAACAAAATGAAACACAAATGCATCGACGGAGAAACAGACAGGCCTGAAATGTTTCAGCGGTCATATGGAACTCCGGCAGGATTTAACATCCTCATATACTTATATGAAATTTCAAAAATTTGTATTTAATACATCTTACTTCTTATACTTATCATGATTTTAACTAGAGCCTGCAGAGAGCTCACAGAGCTAACCTATCACCATGTCTCCAAACTGTCCTGAAACTGTCACCATGCCGTGCTGGAGAGGGGGATGGGGGACAGGGTTGACATCAGAACACCACCTCCCCCCCAAGACGCAGGTTCTCACAAACAAAATCAGGACATTCTAAGAAGATCACTTTTGTGAACACGATCAAAACTTTAAGATCTTGTTGATCAATGTCCAGTGAGAAGTGACAAACACTAGAAGATAAAACAAAGGGATCCGCTATCTTGAGAAGGGAAACCTCACACCAGCAAGCCTACCTTACCATTGGCCTAATGCTACTAAGTGTATTCCAACATGGCAAGATCTAACTAATACAATATAAACTGTATGTATGCTGTTTCCCACCATGCACTCTTGTCACCGATTCCTAACTACAGCATACAAGAAATGCAGTGACGGGGAGAGGGGGCTTAAAGACATGATTAACTGGGGCACAATGACAAGTACACATAAACTTAATTTTCCTTACTTACAGTTCAATCAGAGAGTCTAAATCACTGAAGACATCCCTCGGGAGTGCTTTTATGTGGTTATTGGCCAAAGAACTAGAACAAGAAAGTCATATTTTAATGTGGTTATTATCCTCATGCCTTGTCACTCCAAAGTCCCCGAAACAAAGCTAATGATTTAAAACAGAGCTCTAACCCTCTTCAGCACAACCCAGTTCAATTTCTGGCTTTGCATATGGATACTGAGATAAAGAAATGAGTTTTGTTGTACTAAGACAGCATTATAGATGCTGAAGTACAATATAAGTTTTTTTTGCTTTGTTTTTTAAAGAAGCATTTATTAAGCTCTTTATTTATATACATTTCTTAAACTTTGGACGGCATCTCATGTTTCTCAGAATAAAAGCCAAATCCCTTTGATGGCGTACAAGATTCTCCATTGTCAAGTTACCCCCATTCCCACTTACCGATGGACTGAATCTCTGACTACTCAGGACACCCACACTGGGCCCCTTGCTATTGCTCAAACGGGCAAGGCATGCTCCCACCCCGATGCCTCCGAACTTGTGATTCGTCTGCCTGAACGGTCTTCCTCCAGCTACCCACACAGCTCATTCCAGCACACAGCCCGCTCTCCTTTAGGTCTGTCCTCAACGATCACACCTTCCCTGACCTCTACCGTCTCCCTTCCCTGTTCTGTTGATCCTCACTCCACGACTGTCCCTTGGCATACTACCTACTTTAATTACCTCTTCATTTATTGGCTGTGTATTCTCCCTATACATAAGCAACATGGGGACAGAGACTTTGGGTTAGTCCCCATCTGTATCCCCAGCATCTAAACAGTGCCTGGCACCTAACAGGAACTCACTAAGTCTTTGTTGAGTGAATGAAGGAAGCACTTAAGAGAGAAAGATAAAAGAAAAGGTGTATAGTCTCGTCCAAGAAGTTCCCTCACAGCCCATCTAAGTGAATTCTATGACTTGTGACTCTAAGAAAGGATTCAGTAAATTCTCTTTCACATAACGGTGCTCAGCTCTAGCCCCATGATAATATAAAAGTGCAAAGAACTACAGTGTTTAGAGAACAACTGATTGTGATCAATTGCATCTTCTCACTAACGAAGGTTGACCAGAAACCATTTTGCATTTTTGCTCTCAGTGTTGAAGATCTTTCCAAAATGTCCCAGTCTGCTCTCCCTCTCCAGGAAGAACGAATATCATCAACTCTTTTTCTGATGATTCAGGATCATGCAGTGCCCTGTCATCATCCTGCTGAAGATGAATGTCCGTGGTGCTGGGCGGCTGACGTAGAAAGATGCTGGGTCTTGAAAGATGCACATCAAGTCTGTGCTTCCCCCCTGGGCATCACGCTCTAACGGGAGTCAGCCAAGAAACTGATGTCTACTTTTGTTTTCTCTTGTACGGGGGAGTACAAACAGCAAGACGCATAAATCATAAACACGCAGGCGAGTCAGCACCAACCTCTTTAAAATATATATGAAATTAGCCTTCCGTAGCCTCACAGTGATCCACTGCAGAAAGAGGAATTAAAGAAAACGGCATTCCTCCCTCCTTAGCATCAGCTCTCAGAGAAAACTTTGAGCCCATTTTTGCCCAAACATACTTGCTGCAAGATACCAAGAGACTATGGGGAGACCTAGTCATTTCAGAATTATGTGCCTTCCCACCTAGGTAACCAGAAATGGATTAAAATACAATGTCATCTATTATTTTACCTTTCTTTCCTAAATGATTTATTGGTACATCTTTAAAGATGTTGGAAAATAGGCTGACTATGGAATCAGAGAGAACATGCCCTAGAAGTAGCTTTCTGAAATTAAAAAAAAAAAAAGGTTGTTTTGCTTTTTTGTTGGTTGAGGGCCATTTTTTCTGGAAAGTCCAAACAACTTTTTTAGCTAATTAAAGGTTAATTATTTAGCTACACATTTTTAGTTAATTGAAACGTATAGTACTGAAGTGACAAGAATAGATGGAATGGTCAAAGCTAAAAAAAAGCACTATGTTTAGCAACCTTTCCAAGTGTTCAATTTGGATTTCAGAAAGCCAAGTTCTTCAGATGGACTATCCACGCCACTCACGCTAAGTGCATAACATCTCACTTTCCACTTCATTTTGTCTACAAATTTATGGCACTTACTTCATTTCTAAAACTACTTAACAGCAACCTGTCCCTTGGGCTTTATAGGACTGCTGGAAAACAAATGTCCTAGATTTTAGTTACAGATTGGGACCGCTTCTTCAATGCGTTGAAAGCTGATCTATGCTTCTCGAGAACAAGAATGTGAGCCTGTAGGTGTTGGAAAAAGTCATAAAAGATAAAAACCAGATCAAAGTCCAGATAGTGACTTCTTGGTCCCTTTGCTTAGAAGTTTACAGAAACTGGGATGAAGTGGGGAGGACTGGTTCATTCTTTAGACAATGCATTAAATGCTTTAATTACTACCTACATCTCCAACCTAAGGAGTCAATTTTGAAAGTCACCTGATTTGCCCAGAAGCAGAGTATGTAAGGAAAATCCAACTCAGTAAGGAACCGATTGATCAACCAGGCAATCAGAAAGAATGTCGTGCTGGCTTTCAGTCCTGAGCTAGACGCCTGGGGGAAGAGCAGAGCTAATGAACCATCTGCCTGGGCCCTGCCCTCAGGGAGCTTTCAATGCAGTGGGGGAGTGGGGTGATAAAACTGACATCATGAAACAGTACCAACCAGTATGGCCACTGCCACAGTCAAGTGTTGGGTGTATGGAACCAGAGCAAGGGCTCTGGGAAGGGCAGAGGGGAGATCAAGAATGGCTCCAGGAGGGGAGACAGAACTTAATCTGGACTTTGAAGGAAAAGCAGATTATAGGAGGTGGAAGGTAGAAGAAACAACATTCCAGGCAAGGGAAGGATGTGAGGAAAAGCCGTTATAAGATGAGTCAGGTGTGCACGGGGGTCCACGGAGAGATCAGTGCTCTGCAGACATTTCAGGAAATGAGGATGGAGAACTGGGGAGAGGCGGGTTCTATAGGCTTGACTACAGAATGGCAATGCACACTGGAATAGGTGTATTATTGCACTGGGAGAGTACTCTGGACCTGGGGCCCCTCGGTGGCTCAGTTGGTTAAGCATCTGACTCTTGATTTCGGCTCAGGTCATGATCTCAGGGTCATGAGACAGAGCCCTGGGTCGAATTCTGCGCTGGGCGTGGAGCCTGCTTGATTCCTCTCTCCCTCTCCCTCTATTCCTCCCCCACCACTGCATGTTCTCTCTCTCTCTTTCTAAAAAAAAAAAAAAAAAAAAGTACCCAAAGGACTCTTGCTTTCTACATGTCACACAGAATAGGAGGTGCCTCTTAACACATAAGCACGCATTGTATACACATGTGGTTGTGTGCACAAATAACAAGCATGCACACACAGTTATGAACGCACACACTATATACACATATCTACCCATGTATAGAAGTCCATGCATCCCTGAGCAAACCTGTGCGAAGATATGCAAACATGCATGCACAATACCTGCATGGTCACACCTGTGTTCAGACCAATGACCCATAGCCAATTGGTCAAATGAAAATGACATCTGGGCTAATTCAGTCAGTCACATGGGCTTTGCTTAGGTTCATGATCTGCCCAGAGCTTTTGCTCACAAACAAAGCCCCTCATTCCTGACTTCTGGGAACCAGATCCGTCTGGCTACAGCTGTTCCTCTCCAGACACCCACAGCTGTCTTCTTAGCAGACCCTGTCTGGCCGCTCGCACTGCCAAGGGTCCTCAACAGTCCATAGAGAAAATGGAGACTTCTTCATGAGTGGACGGAGGCAATGATATTGCTGTTGATGATGATGATGGTAGCAACGCCAACCATACCTTGAGCCCTTGAGCGTTTACCAAGGGTAATGGGCTGGATGCTTCGCAAGCAAGCATTAACCCACCATGTGCAATAATCCTATGGGGTCAGTGTAATCACCCACATCTTCGGGATAAGGAAACTCTGGCTCAGAAAGGCTAAGCGATGTTAATAAATGATGACTTTGAGATTTGAACCCAAGTCTACATGACTCCAAATCCATTATCTTAACCTTTACAGGAATATGGGGATTTGGTATCTGGGTTCAATCTGAAAAAACAAAACAAAACAAAACAAAACAAAACGAGATAACAACAACAGCAAAACAAGACTTTTCCAGAAAGGAAGGAAAACCTGGAGCAATAATGGCAACAAAAGTCTGAAACTCTCCGGTAGCGATGGTGCCGATCCAGATGTTTGGACCTCCCTCCCACGCTCCTCCCTCATCTTCTTACTCTAGGAACTTTATTTAACTCAGGCAGGGCTTCTGCTTGGTAGGCTTCCAGAATCAAGTGCTCCCTGAGCCTGTCGACAGACACCTTTGGCTGTATCAGGACTTGATGTAAATGATTATCTCCTTAGATGTGTATCAGTCAAGGCTGCACCTGCTGAAGGTTCTATCACCCCTGCCCAAAACCCCCACTCAACAATCTCCTATTCTCCCAATTTTCCTTTTATCACCAAGATGAGACATGTTATCTTACTCAATCACAAAATATCTATCATGCACATGGGACCTGGCCCTGGTTAATAAATTGCTTCTACCAAGACAATGACTATTTTTACATTTTCATAAACACCGCCACAATGTTTTCCAGCTTCCTAAGTTTGCCAAGTGTGTGTACTTGCTTCATTCTGATATGCCAATTCAAATCAATTTGTTTAATTTTTTTTCCTCCAGAAAGCTATTAAAGAAGCCAGAGAGCTTAGCTTAAGCTGCAGATTAATCCAACATAAAAGAAAAAGCTATCTGCATTCAAATTAGAGCAACCACAAAAATGTCTCTATTCCACTTCTTCCTAATTTTGATCCCGCACTCAAGATTCTTCAATGAATCAGGGAAGCCTCAGTTCCCAAATCTGTAAAATGGAGACTCACTAAGTATCGTGAAAGATAAAGAAGAGAAGGCTCATGAAGCACGCAGGCATGTGCCCGGCACACAGCAGGTGTGGGTGGGTGGAGGTTTCCTCCCCACCTCCTCCATAACCGGCCGCCCTCCCCTCATGGCTCAGCGGACTCCTTACGGCACGTACAGTCACATGATCCACAACAGCTCATCAGGATGATGGAAAAGATCATAAAGCCAAGTGCATGGGTAATGACACTAGGCTGGTGTCCGATCAACAACACAGAAACCTTTGGGGCAACCTGGAAATTAGTTTCCTTGAGAGAATGTTAACAATATGGACAGTACAGCCAAGAAAGCACAAGGCACCCGGAAGTGGATTTTATGCCACCCATTAAAGGACCCGCAACATTTTTCACAGGACTTACAGGTGAGTCAGGTCCCGGAGACCACGAAATGCATTTCTTGAAATGGTTTCTATTTTGTTCCCTTCAATGAACCTAAAGAGAAAAGCAGTAGCATTCAACGGAATTTTCTCGACTTAGTATCTCTAAAAAGTGATATTCAAAACAAAATCTGAAAACATGCATGAATTTAAAACACTCATCTCTGAGGGTTAGGTCAGCTGCACTGGCTGCCAAATGGGAGCTGGGTTTGTGTGCAAGAATGCATGCACACAAGTGTATGTTCTGTGCTCCTTCCAGAAGCAGCATGGAAAGCTTCACATTCAGAGCTGGCAACATGGGTAAAAACATCTTGGGGGGGAAAGAAAGCCCTATACAAAAGCAAGAAATTCTTAAATCTCTGCAAGACTGGAATGCTTCCAGACATCTTCCCCACTCCAACCTTCTTATATTTCACAGTGCCTGGCTATTAATACTTTCATTAATATCATTGTCTCTTGAGGGCAACTCATTGTTTTACATCTCTGCCTTCAAGTTTTTGCCGAGGGAGAATTCCATTAAGCTTGGCTTCTGGCAAACTTCACTTCAGCATGTCCTACACAGTCTAATCTCTGAACAAATGGGTAACAAGGCAGGATTCTCTCAAGATCTCTAAGCCACTAGAAAATAGGAAATATAATGAAGTTGAGCATGGGCCAAACCTCTTGCTCTGTGCTAAAATGGTTTAGGGCTTGCACACAGGACCTTGCAGTAATAACTCTGACCATGCTTTAAAGTCTTTATGGGAAATACATGAAGCGAATGCACTCCAACTATTCCCTAGGACTACAGGGAACTAAATTTTAGATTATGGCATCCCATGACATCAAATGTAAGAGGGCCTTTGATGAGATAGTCCAAGCGAGAGGCTTTGCAACACGAAACCATTCGTTAGTGAAATCGTTCTTGATTCTTGTACTGACATCTTTGATGTGTTTTGTTTTTTTTTAATCAGGGGTCTATTCAGTAATAGAATTCAGTATAGACTGATAAGCGAACTTCCCCTCAATAACCTTGGCAGTAAGATGAACTGCTCACAGGAGAAAACCGATAGCTTTACATTCACTACCGCCACCAGCTGTTCGTGTGCTTTGATAGAACCTGGTTAGGCTTAGCTTCCGTCATACCCTGCTTTCCATATTACGTATACCATCAAGGCTGTTAGGAAAGTATACATATTATGTGTACTCTGGAGGAAGAATTCCCTCAGAGACCTCTTTCCTAAGGACATAAAATCAGCAGAGTTTTTTTAGACCCAGGATGTGTTTAGAATTCAAACATCTACCTGTTAACCTCAGATAAGAAAGCAGAGACGAGGCTTTAAGAATCCCTCTGAATGCTAAGTAAGGAAATCCCATCTGATAGCAGGATTAATATTATTACAAAGTTACAAAAGACAAGGATGAAAGCTTTTAAGGGGGAAACGGACATGAAGGGGGCAGGGAGGGGCAAATCAGAAAAGAAATCAGGAAACGAAATCAGAACATGGGCAAAGCTCATTGCTACGGGAAGAAAACTGCACACCTGAAAAGGAAAAACAAAAACAAAAACAAAAACCCTCTTCTTTTAAAGAAGAAAAAATAAAATTAGACTCTCAGCAGCAGCCCACAGGAGATACTGCAAACGGGATCTAGGAGAGTCAAATTAAAAACATGAAGGTGTATCCCCATATAGGGAGACTTTACTTAACGCTCAGAATCCTTCAGCTTTGTTTCTGGCTCATCAGCAAATCCATGCCTAGTTATGAGAGGTAAAAATATCCAACGCAATTTCCAGTTGTGCTTACTACATGCCAAATTAAATGTCAGCAGAGAATGAATGAATATCTTTCCTTCTTTGTTTGCTTTCACCCGCTTTGTCTCCAACCTCCCCCGTCCCAGCATGTTTATACACAAGTAAACTATAAAAGGTCAGTGCTGAAAAGAGAATGGGGTTTTCTCCTTTTTCTCCACCCCTAAGCTCTCTGAGAGATGCTGTTCCTGCTTGGAAAGCAAGACAGCGATTCTATGGACATGCCAAAGGCTCAGCAAAGAGACAAAGCACAGAACTTACAGGTACTCAAGATGGAAAAGTCCAGCAAAAGCATCATCCCGGATGACGGTAAATGAGTTGGAATTCAGCAATCTGAAAGTAGAGGATGGATTTCAGTGCAGAGATGGGCACCTTGAGTAACATAGCGAAACTCTTTCGGTTTCTTTCGCTATGTTCTGATCCATGGCAAACATGGGCTCTTCTCAGCCTAAGACTGGCTCATTAGGTGCACAGCCCGATTCACAGATGCTGATGGATGGTGGCAAGTGGATTCCTTTTGGCTAGATTTTTCTGGTCACCCCCACTGCTCCACCCTTTCTCCCCGGTGGGTCTCAGTAAATAAGACCTGATAGTTGTATCTCAAAACATTCTAACACTCACCACAACTAAACAGCCAGTGAATGCTTTAACATGCACAAGCAATCCTGGAATCAGAGATCTAAAAGGACCCAATCCGACTCTATTTTTAAAGGGGGAAATTTGTGCCCAGAGAAGTTAAGTGACTTGACCAAAGTCACACAGCTGAGACCAAAATAAATAAATAAATAAATAAAATCCTTTCTTCTCTATTATACATTCCCATGAGAAATAATTAAAAAGTTTAAGAAATCTTCAGAACACTCTTTATCAGCACATAGGTTTCTATTAGTCACCACTTAAGTCTATTGGGTGAGATACCCAAAATTGCATTTCTAGCATATGGAAAGTATATTTTAATAGAAGTAAAATTTCCAAGAAATTACAGATTTTAAAATGTTAAGTACAATGTTATGCGTAGGTCCATAACATTTCAAGAACAAAAATATCAACATTAAGTTTATTTAGGATGAGAAGTGACCTCCTAAAGGCTATTTCCTCATATTTTTCTGTAGTACATTGCTTATTTTTAATCTCATCTCAAATTTAAGAAACAGAACAAACAGAATGAGCTATGTACTCATGACTTTGCCTATCACCGACTTGCTTTTGAAAACTGCTTTTTGGACATTTCTTTTCATCAGCAAACAATAACTGAACTGGGATACCGGGCATAACATGAGTACTCGCCAAGAGTGGCTGGATGCAGAGCATTTATGAGTGTGGGTTAGAATTCTGGCTGGGGGGGCGCCTGGGTGGCTCAGTTGTTAAGCATCTGCCTTCAGCTCAGGTCATGATCCCAGGGTCCTGGGATCGAGCCCCACATCGGGCTCCCTGCTCCATGGGGAGCCTGCTTCTCCCTCTCCCACTCCCCCTGCTTGTGTTCCCTCTCTCACTGTCTCTCTCTGTCAAATAAATAAATAAAATCTTAAAAAAAAAAAAGAATTCTGGCTTGGGGGTGGGCGTGAGGAGGGGAGGGCGCCTGGGTGGCTCAGTTGGTTGAGTGGTTGAGCATCTGACTCTTGATTTCCTTGATTTTGTTTGGCTCAGGTCATGATCTCAGGGTCCTGAGATGGAGCCCCGTGAGGGGCTCCACGCTTAGCGGAAAATCTGCTTGAGATTCTCTCTTTCCCTCTCTGTCTCCCTCTACCCCTCCCCCAACTCACACTCTCTCTCTCAAAGAAATAAATGAATCCTTAAAAAAAAAAAAAAAGAATTCTGGCTGGGATTTTGGACAAGTTACTTAACTTCTCTGAGCCTTAATTTTCTTGTCCATCAAAGGGAGAAATAAAAATACTCTCCTCGTAGGGATGATTAAATAAAATTTTCCATTTAAACATATAGTATGCTGCCCAATCGTTTACATAGTCGGTCAACTAAAAATACTTTTACTTCCAGAGACACATAAAGAGTTTAAAATGTAGGTTTTCTTTTTTTTTTTTTAAGATTTTATTTATTTCTTTGACAGAGAGAGAGACACAGCGAGAGAGGGAACACAAGCAGGGGGAGTTGGAGAGGGAGAAGCAGGCTTCCCGTGGAGCAGGGAGCCCGATGTGGGGCTCGATCCCAGGACCCTGGGACCATGACCTGAGCCGAAGGCAGACGCTTAACGACTGAGCCACCCAGGCGCCCCCAAATGTAGGTTTTCTTTTAAAGTGAGGTGTCTGGGAAACACTTCATTTAGGTGAAATTCAGGCCGTCATTCAGTGTAATCATGTCCCACAGTTGCCAAATACAGGTGTTGGGATCTACGATAAAGTCCTTGAGGAAAACGTGTGTCAAAAGAAGGAGGGGACACTGAGCAAAGAGCCTGAGACTCAGATAGGTGGGGACACCACAGGACAGTTAACACCGAGAGTTTATTGGGGTGTTTAAGGAAGGACTGACACCAAAGAGGCAGAGGTGGCCCCTCCCAGGACTGCACCTTCAGGATCCCCATTTTCAGAGAGAACTTCCCATACTCACAGCAACTGCAGCGAAGGCAGATGGGAAAACATTCGGTCCTTGATTTCTGAAAATGTTCCATTTACCAGGCTCCTATAGGCAAAAGAGAAGCAAAACAAGGCCTAGGGTTTTGGGGTTTTGTTTTGTTTCTTTTTTAGAACTGATTGCAGGCTGGGCAACCAGTCTTATCCTCCACCTGTGTTTCAAACTCCTCCACGCAGGATGAGGCTTAAAATAGTCAACCAGGGGCTTCTCAGGGGTAGAAATGAGAAGAGTCAAGCCATTTCCCAATGAGCTGGATCAATATGAAAACTAGTCTGAATAGTAGAAACCTTTGCCATCAGTCTAGCTCCTTCCACAGACATTATCTCAGCAAGTTTAAATCAATCTCCTCACTTCCTTTTCTTAACTACAGGAGGCCCTGGCTGAAAATGGATAGTTGCTTCACCTCTGCCCATGATTCTGTTTGTGTAGACACAGCATTAATGTCCGCAGGGGAAGGGGTAGGATTAAGCATTCCCCTTGGGAGCACATCTCTGAAAGACACTCAGAGCACTTCTGATTAAATGCACTGTGAAAGCCTTGGGGGAAAACTCAAGAGACACCTGAACTTGAATGTGCGGTGGGAGGCAATGCCATCTGCCAGATATAATGGTCAATGAGGGGGCAAGCCGCTTGACTATTTTTGCCACCAGGTCCCCTATCCTTTCTCGCCACAGCAGGACCGGCCACGCATTCGTTCAAAATTATTTCAGTTAACAGGCAGATCAATTAAGCAGCTGCTGTTCTAAAGGATTTAACAAGGGGAATTCCAGTTTCTGGAATCCTCCATGTCACACGACTTAGCAACATCAGTAATCAAAAAGGCCCCCCGTTCCTGCCAGCCAGGTCATCCTGAGTTTCTGTAATGCCAGTGGGAACCCCTTCACCCCCGGACCTTGCCAGGGGTGGGAAGCAGGGGAGTGTCCTACAGGGGACCTGAGCAACTTCGCCCCTGGGATTCCCTGCCTCTGTGACTGAGTGGGCATCACCCCAGCACCCTGGCCTGGAAGGAGGAAGTGCTTTCAGCCAGAAACATTTCCCAGCAGTAAAGATATGGCCGGGTAGACCCTTCCACTGCCATTAGGAGAGCCAGTTGTGGGGGAGAGTGGCTGTGTGAGGGCGGGTTGAAAGCATCTCTCAGCAGGTGAAGAAATAGGTGGAACCCTTCCTGTCAATTCCTCCAGCGCTGAAAAAGCAGCCAGCATAATGTGTGGTGGGGAGAGGGGCAAGAAGCTTGTGAACTCCGGGCAAGTCTGGCTGCCTTCCAGCACTTGGCCACTGGCCTGGGTGCCCCACATGCCCCAAAGCTCTGCCAAGCCCTGTGCTCCCCTCTTCCAGGCCTCAGGAGGTAGCCCCCCACTTGCAGAGGCTGCATGCCTTTACTTGGGTTCTTCCCAACCTGCAGTGTGGAAGGGTCGGGAGGAGGCCACGGTGTAAACCACCGCCCCAGACGCGAGGTGGGCCGGTGAGGCCTCATCCCTCCCCTGTTTACCTTCACTCCAGTCACGCTCGGCTGCACATTCATGCCCCTACCAGACCACCCCTCCCCAAATACCCCTCTTAAACTTTAACGCACTCCCAGAATCACCTGGGACGCCAAATGCAGACTCCAAGTCTCCACTCCGGAAACCCTGCTTCATTCAACGCGGGCCCGGCAATCTGCATTGACACGAGCTTCCCCCCCCCCCCACCCCATCCCGCCAGGTGGGTCTGAGGCAGGTGGCACGCGGGCCACACTTTAAGCAACACTGCCACGGGGACTTGTCTGGGTTCCCAGGCTCTGGGCCTCGGGTTCCCTCCACCGTCCCCAGGGCCCGAGACTCCACCCACGTCCCACAGCGCGCCCCAAAAAGAGGCTGGGAAGTGGGGTCAGGGTCGCGCGGTCCCAGCGCCAGAGGCAACTCCCCGGCGGCGGCGGCAGGCGCGGGGTGGGGCGGGCACCGGAGGGGTCCCACTCACTCACAGGGAGCTGATGTCGCCCGGCACGATCCTGGGCACCCAGGAGGAGCCCACGCAGATGATGGACTCCTTGGTACAGCTGCAAGTGGCGGGGCAGCGCGCCAGCCGCCTCACCTGCGCGCCCGGCGGGATCAGGCACGCGGCACTGAGCAACAGCAGCAGCCGCCCCAGCGCCCCGCCGCCGCCGCCGCCGCCGCCCCGCCGCAGCGCCATGCCGGGTCCCCGCCGCCCGCTCCCTGCCCGGGCGCCCGCCGCCGCCACCGCCGCAAACGCGGGCGCCGCTCGCTGCTCCGCCGCGGCCGCTGCTGGCGAGGACGAGGGCGCCGCGGGTGTGGGAGGCCGAGCCGCAGCCGAGCAGCATGCTGCCCGCCACCCCCACTCGCGCCCCCCCCCACCCGAGCCGGGGCTGCTGGGCGGCCGCCGCCGCTGCGCCCGCCGCACTCGCGCCCGCCTGACATCAGCACTCGCGCCCGCCGCCCGCTCTGGCCAATGACTAATGCGGGCCGCGTGCCCGCCCCCCGCCACGCGCCCGGACCGGGCCCTCCCGACCCTCCCGGGGAGCCGCGGGGCCCGGGGAAAAAGTTGGGTGACCTTGGGGGGAGGGGCCGCCCTGGACGAAGACACCGCCCCCCTCCCCGGGGGCCAGGCTGAGCGGCGGGGGGCTCAGATCCCCGCAGTCGCTCCTAAGGCTCCAAAGGATTTGGGGGAGGCACTGGGCTCCTTTCAGCTGGGACAAAGTGTGAGGCCAAAAAAAAAAAAAAAGTAGGAACCGGGGGAACTGCCTTGATGGCTGGGTGCTTTGAAGAGTACAGAATTTTGAGCAGCCTTTATTAATTTTTAAGCGAGGAAATGAAGTGAATTTGGCCATTGAGTTCGGCGGGGTCTGGCGCCCGTTCCCGCAGCCCCCCGAGAGGGGAGGGCGGTGACTGAAGCCCGTCACCTTTCCCTGCGAACGAACGCAGGACCGAAGAGGGGCTACAGCAGTGCTCGCCCCTGCTAGCTGCTCTGGGGCCGGCCTAGGGCTTGCTACGGAGCTACACCTCCGAAAGTTTTCCCTGGCTCCGCAGGCTCAGGGGCAGTGCCCCCATCCCAGTGAAAGGACAGACATCCGTGGAGATTGCGGGCCCCACACGTCCGAGGCGCCGTACATTTCGTCTTCTGCTAACTTTCGGAGGCAGGTCCCGTTCATCTCCCCAATTCACTGATGAGGAAACCGGGAGGCACAGTAGCTGGCTGGAGGTGGAGGAGTAAGTGGCTGGGCAGAGATGGGGATCAGAGCAGGCTGGGGACTGGGACCCTACGGAGCCCCTCTTACACTCAGCACGTTTGAGACACTGAGCTTGAATCTTACCACAAGGTGGTGTGAACTGGGGGAAGCAGAGACAATGGCCAGAGCAGAACCAAAATAATGGCAAAGAGCCCAAACTGCTCAGGGTAGGGAATCAAGGGCACCATCTGAGCTACTAACCAAGGAAAATCATTTTGTCTGTTAAGATATACCCGGAGGGGCGCCTGGGTGGCTCAGTGGGTTGAGCGTGGGACTCTTGGTTTTGACTCAGGTCCTGATTTCAGGGTCCTGAGATCGAGCCCTGCGTCGAGCTCAGTGCTGAGCATGGAGCCCACTTAAGATTTTCTCTTGCCCTCGCCCTCTACCCCTCCCCGCTCCCTAAAATAAATAAAATAAATAAATAAAATCTTCAAAAAAGAGAGAGAGAGAGATACCCAGAAAAGGCAGTACCTGCTGGCAAAGGTTATTACTAATGGAATCATCAGTCATCTATCCCTCACAAAAAAATTTTGAGCACAACCTGGGCTGGCCACTGTGGGAGGGGACGGGGCGGGGGGGGACAGGCCATAGGGATCCTCGGGGAGCTTGACGTCTAGCTGGGCAGAGAGCCCTAAAGAAGTCACTCCACATGGTGCATGGGGGTTACGGGCTGACCAGAAGAAGTTCGGGAGCTGAGAGCGGGTTTGTTATAGGCAACTTCACGGATGGAGTTGGACGTTCATGGCTGGGCACTGTTTTTCCAGCACTGGCATCCCTGTCCATCAGTTTACATTCATCACCCATCTAATTGCCACATCTACTCCACGAAGGGGGTCTTCCCATTTAATAGATGGGAAAATTGAGCTCAGAGCTATTCTTCTCTTGCCCAAGGTTACACAGGACCCAGCCAGGAGGCTCCTACTCTGGAGCTGGCTGCTGAGTCAGGCGCTCTCTGCTGTGTTGGCAGGCCTTGCACAGAGGATTTACCCAGCAGGGCCCGGTGCTGGGGGCTGAGGACACAGACTCTCGGGAGGGCAACAGGCACGGGCACCCACCATCCATCACGGATGTGTGTCCTGCACGTGTGGAAGGCACCAGCCTTCGGAGGGATGGGCTATTGCTTTATGGAGAGGAGGGGTGAGGCTTTTCTAGCGCGGTGCCTTCCTGCTGCCCCAGGAGAAGAAATTTCGGTTCTCAGCCCGGTGGAGTGGACTGGAGTGGAGTGGAGTGGAGGTGGGGGCAGGGTAGAGAAGGCAAACCCTCCGTCCCCAGAACTAGACAGGTTTGGGTTAGTATCCCAGCCTGCCATGCACCGGCTATAACTGTGGGCAAGTGATAACCTTTCTAAGGCTCAATTTCCTCACCTGGTTGTATCCCCCCCGGGAGTTCATTGTGACCAGGAATGCACAGCACCCAATGCCACACAGGAGGGACTGGGTATTTGTCCAGGGGTCTATGTGATCTTGCAGGCAGGGCAATTCCCAGCAAAACCCTGGGATTGGAGGAGAGAGATGGAGGCCAAGAGGGGCTCTAAAAGGAAATGAATTTTCCTGACTTTTGTGCCTCCATTTTAATCAAGGGCAAGGACACAGTCTAGCACCGTGGTTCTCAATCAGCGGTGACACTTGGCCATGTCTGGAGACATTTTGGGTTTTCACAGTGGGGTGGCTGCTACCGGCCAGAGATACTATTAAACATCCCTCAACGCACAGCAAAGAATGATCCAGACCAAAATATTACTGGTACCGAGGTGGAAAGACCCTCACCTAGTGTCCTGGAAAGACCCTTGGCATGAGGAATTCCAGAAATTCAGATTCTAGGCCCAGCTTCACTCTTCGTAAGCAAGGCTTTGGTCCCATCGGTCCCATCTCCAACCTCTATCTTTTCATCTGTAAAATGGAGGGGTAATCAGACCTTCCTCTCTCTTTCCCCCCACCCTAAGTGAATGTGACGTATCATCATTATTATTGTCCTTACTCTCCCTAACCTGAAAAACTAGAAAGTTCCTGAGGGGAAGAGCACAGAGGGAAGACTCAGGTAGGGTAGCAGAACTGGCTGGGTTGAAATTTGTTTCGGCTCTGTTAGAGACACCAAGTGAAAGCTTGTAAATTATAAGGGGCAGTCTATAAATTAAGATATAAAAATGGACATGCAGATTACTTTGGTTTGGTTCCAGGATCTTCAGCAGTTAAAAAAAAAAAAAACTTAATGGACAATCAGAGAGACACAATCTGTTTCCAGGAAACAGCAAGAGTTTTTCAAAATGTAAAAATGCTCATTCAGACGTACGCTTACTCCAGCTGTGTCTCCATGACACGAGCAGGCGTTCCTGCAGGGGCTGGAATGGCAGGGGTGGGCTGCTCAAAGCACTGTTCGTTCATCCCCCTTCTCATTCAACCACCTGTCAGTTCCTTCGGTCAATATTGATTGAGAGCCCCCTAGGTGCTGGGTTGGACTTAGGCGTGAAGGCGAAGAAATGTCAAGAATGCCTCCCAGGGTTTCACTGGAGCCAGTGGGGGATGGAAGCACCATTTCTTGAGATGGGAAAGCCGAGAAGAGCGAGTTTGGCTGGGAGAACGATATAAACAGCTTAGTATTGGAGATGTTGCCTCTGAAATGTCCAGGAGACACCCACGTGCGGCTGAGTTGGCAGCTAACTGACCAGTGGGGATAGCAAGGAAATGATAGGGGGGCGGTGGATGGGAAATCTTCATACCCTGGATGAAACATTGATTCTACCCCAGTAAGTCCTCAACGTCATGTTGGTTGGTTGAAGGAATGAATGAGTGAATGAATGATATTTTGGACATACAGACGTTCAAGAGAAAAATCTCTCTCAGGTGCAATCAGCAAAGGAGCACCAGAAATCTTACAGAAGAGCGTGACTCTAAGAATATTGCGGTGTGGGGATCTATTTTTAGACCAAAAATAATCTTCAGATCCTAAGCCGAACTGTAAATCTTGTAAGAATCTCGGAGACCTCATCATGCTTCTAATCCCCTTTCCCTATTTCCAACCAAGCTCCACCCCCACCCCCAGCTGGTCTTCTCCCCAGAACTGTAAGTTTTGGAAAGGCTTCCCTAATGTCAAACACTCCTGGCTTGGAGGCTTGCTGTAACAACGGAAGAAAAATTATTCATCCAAACCTCAAAAGCACTTGGTTTGAATGGCTATAAATTGGAGTCCCTGGAGTAAAAATTTTAAAAAGTCTCATTCACTTTTTTTTTTTTATCAAAGAGTGTGCCAATCCCTCTTTGACCACATCACCCCCAATATGCCACTCTTGTGGTTGGCTGCTCATCAAATGTGGATGCCATTTCTGCCTTCGGCCATTTCCCCTCTTCATAAACTCAGTGAGTGTTACAAGTCTGGAATTCACTCCAAATTTGCCCCGACTGGCCTCTTGAATTCAGTCATGTTCTCAAAGGGCTGCCTATGGATATCTCATATGGTTTCCTCAATCAGCAGAAAGACCCTCAGGACGCTGCCCATGGTTTCTGGTGACTCTTGCACCTCCGCCCCAACACCAGTGTGGAATATTTCTCACCCAGGATCAGCTGCTTCTTCTCATGACAGTAGGTCACGATTTTGCTTTGGAGGGAATGACTCCTTCTCAACATTCAATCCATGTGACTTATTTGATCAATACTTCCATCTCCTGTTGCTCATGTCAAGACTAGAGCTTTCCAGAACATTCCATTCTCCCAGCCTCAGTGACTGGCTCAGGGTAGAACACATCATCCAGCTGGAGCAATCAAGGCTAACAAAATCCCTTGTCAGGGCTTTTGCTTGAAATGTCAAGAAGCAGTCTTGCTTTCCCACTGGCCTAGGAGTTGTGGTCACAAGCCTGAGAAACTGCATATCCCGAGAAAGACATCCACCTGGGGGGACATCTCGATGGCATTGTTTGGGCATCTGATCAAGCCATCCCATTCAACTTTGCAGT